TAAAAACTTACTTGAAATGGATCACAGATCTACTAAAACATTAAAATTTCTGGAAGGAAATATAGTAAAATAAAAATCTTAGTGACTATGGGATATGCAAAGATTTCTAAGGACATATAAACTATGAACAACAAAGAAAACAAGTGATCATTGATCTCATCAGAATTTAAAGATGAAAAGTGCCCGGGCATGGTGGGGCACGCTTACAACCCCAGCACTCAGAAGGAGGAGGCATAAGAATCACTGTGAGTTCAAAGCCACCATGTACTACAGAGTGAGTTCAAGGTCAGTCTGAACCACAAAGCAAAAGCTTGTCTTAAAAAAACACCAAATAGTTGTAGAGGCTCTTTTGTTCCTTTAGGGTTTTTTGCTTTGTTTTGTTTTGTTTTCCTTTGGTTCTTTGAGACAGGGTCTTGCTATGTAGCCAGGCTGGTCTTGAACTCATAGCCATCTTCCTGCCTCAGCATCCCCAGTGCTGGGATTACAAGCATGCACTACTATACCTGACCAAGGCTTTTTTTTTTTTACCAAAAATTTTTTATACAAAAAAGAAAAACTCAAGTTGGACACAGCGGTACAAGCTTATAATCCCAGTTCTGTGGGAGGGTGAGGCAGGAAGATCATAGGTTCAAGCCTTGGCAATTTAGCAATTTAGGAACTCTTTTCTCAAAAATAAAAAGGGCTGGGAATATAATTCAGGGCAAAGGCCCTGGTTTCAATCCCAAGTACTCACACACGCATAAACACACAATACTCTCAAAGAAGAATAGCTAGAAAGAACTCAAAATTCCATAATAAGTAAGGGCCTAAACAAATTCTGGTGTATCCATACAAGGAATATCCTGGGAAATGAAAGGGTTACTATGCACATTGATCCATCTTATGCTCATGGAATAATGTTGACAGTGTTAAGACTACTTCATTTTTCTTTGCCAAACAGGAGGTGAAGAAATCTATGCATTTCTCTATTGGGAACTTAAAACATTTTTTCAGAAATCTTGTACTTAAGAATAGTCTTAGTACTGAAGAATAGTCCTGTGTACGTCAACTGGTGTTTTTTAACATCAATGTATAATTAGTGAATCAATTGTTGAATGTCACATTGGGTTACTTTTTGAAATAGTTGCAACAGGTCTGTTCACCAAGTCATAGTATTATACATAATTAAGTCAGGTAGAAATATTATAGGCCGAGCTGAGCCCTCCAGAGAGTCACTACAGAAGACAGAACATCAAGAAGCCGGGCATGGAAGTGCATACCTAAAATACCAGTACTGCGGAGGCTGAGGCAAGGATCATCACAAGTTGGAGACCAGCCTGGGCTACAAGTGAGCTCAAGGACAGTCTGAACTGCATAGTGAGACCCTGTCTCAAAGAGACAACAAACAAAGCAAACCAAACCAAACCCCCCTCTCTCCCCCCAAAAAAAACCTGGCTGGAGGTGCATCTAAAGAAGACTAAAATCACAGTGACCAGATTTGCCTGGTTCCCTGTGGGAGACATGAAAATCTGAGATCATCAGCACCGCCCTCTCGAGATTTTCCACAGAAATAGACTGTCACCTCACTGGACATAGGCTGTATTCTTCCGTCCACTAAGATAAAGATGAAGAGCCAGGAATGTGGCTCAGTGGCATAGCACCTGCCTGGCAAGTGTGAGGTCCTGAGTTCAATTCCCAGTACAAAAGAAAAAAAAAAAAGACCAAAAGTGTCCTTGTGATCTTATTGATTGATTTTAGTTTGACTCATGTTGTGTCCACCTTGTGATTTTGCCCTATAAAACTTTCTCAGAAAAGTGGGCTTGGTGACCACCCACTTTCACGTCCTCTCCTCTCTCTCAGGAGTATCTCTCAATTAATTTTCCTACTGTTAACCTCTTTTGTCTCTTAGAATTCATTCTTTGATTTTGGGGAATAAGAATTTGACATATCTGGCATCTAGCTGGTTGCTAGTTGCATATTCCCTCTGTATCCGTAAAGTTTATTACTACATGAATAAAGACCTGGAGACTGAGTTCCAAGTTACATTTCTAAATTCAAAGTGTAAAATGTGTTTATATCTACCAAGCATATATTTTTATAGCACTTTTGGGAGGTTTATGCAGCATATACTGCTGAAAGCTTCAACGACTGTGAAACTGATACAGGGAAAACGCTAGATGTCAAATACATCGAGTCTGTGTTCTCTGAAGTTGAAGTCTAAGGAGTAACAGAGGTACTGAATTGGGCTAATTCTGTAAGAAAAATCGGAAGAAAACATTCAATAAAAATTTTTTCAATACACAAAAGTGTAACACAGCACGTAACATGGATCAAACTCACCTGGTTACCCTTTGACATGTGTACACACACCTTGCTGTTTGTGGCATCAAGTAGGTGACTACTTGATGCCAGCAAGCTCCTGAGATGCACAGCTGGCTACTATTATGCTAAATTACATAATACACTAGAAAAGTATGCTATGGGTGGCTGCAACCCAGTGTGAGGACCTGTATTAACAGATCAGCATCCACTTGGTTAGTGTTTTTGCAAATTATTGCCTTAGACATGCTGTCACCCAATGTTTTTCTTTAATCTATTTGCAGAGCAATTTTTCAACTTATTTTATTATCTGCGAATGTTGCTTATTCACAGACTTTACACCTTTAGCAACATTTGTTGCTTTAGTCTTGTCCTTATTTCTCACTATTACTGAGATTGTTGATCTGGTCTTTTTTAAAAAATTTATTTACTTACTCATTTTGTTTTTTTTTTTTTTTTTGGTACCAGGGATCAAACTCACAACCTGGCAGTTGCCAGGCAGGCGCTAATGCCACTAAGCTAAATCTCCAGCCTGATCTGGGTGTTTTAAAGAGCAAGAGCAATCACACCTATCTATACTCCCTTTCTTAGCTACAATCTTTTTCTTTTCAAAGGCTGCTTTTTTTTGGTTTGGTGGTATCAATCTTTCTGTGACTCATGACTAGCACTTAAAATGCACAAAAGTATAAGATAGTAACGATAGACATGTGGAGTCCTGCAGTATACCCAAGCTACTGTGAGACTATACATGGACCCATTCCATCAAACCAGAGGGACACCAAGCAGCCAGGGACAAGAAAAACACCTCTTCTGTGGAGTCGGGTCCTGACTCAGTAGTTTTAACAAGTGCAGCAAATCTGGAGGAAGTGCCAAGCCCTAAAATAATTCTCATCAAAATGCCAGGAATACTTCATTTGACATGCTCTGAAGCCAAGTATCAGAGTATGACTGTATTCAAAAAGTACACATACACTTTAAATTTAAATCCAGAACATCTGTCTGCGTGCACACAAAAACCTCCTACATATTAAAAAAAAAGAATAAAAATGTGGCCAATAACAGATGCAAAGATTCTCATCATACAAAGGAAAGCAGTGAATAGGTATGATAGCATTTTAAGGCTGGGGATTTAGTTCAGCAGCATAAGCTTCTACCCGGCAAGTTATGAGGTTGTGAGTTTGATCCTGGTACAAAAAACAAAACAAACAAAAAACATTTTAAAGTCAATAATGCAGCAAAAATAAAAACTGGCAGTGGTAAATGCTGGTGATAACACAGAACTGTAATCTGTATTATGTACTGTAGGTAAAGGATGTTATTACAGTCAATGATACCAGAGCACATATCCATATGCATGAATTTTTAATTTATGCATTAGGATAATAAAGTAGCAATAACCTTAAGAGACTTATCTTAAATTACTGCCCCTGTTTTCTGAACTTTTAAATGGTTCCCATTCACTGAAAACCCTATAATAGGTTAGGTAATGAGTAACATAGGTGCTTTGTATACTTAAACTTTCATTCATTAAATGTGGCATAGATTTCTTACTTTTTATATTAGTTTTCTTTTCTAGATGCATAATTCTAGTCTCTCAGAGACCATCATTTATTCGAGACATCTGCACCTTTAAGTGGAAACGCAAAGGATTCTGGGGCCCAGCTCTTACAACCTTCTCTCTCCCACATCGCGACAGCCTTATGATCTAAGCCCTGATGTTTAGCACAACTGACACATTCTTGGGAATATTTCTAGTTTTCCTGGAAATAATCTCAACCAATATCACCCTGGAATGGGGGAAAGGAAAAAAGGAATGGAAAAAGGCAGAGTAAGCAAGGCCTTTCCTGGAAAAATGTGTGTAGAAATTATGTATGTAATTTCACCCATTCATAAGTTCCCTTGGCGTCCCTACAAAAACTTTGGACCCCTAATTAAGAATATCTACATTTTAGGGGTAAAAAAAACCAGGCTAAACCAGGTAAAAGATTTCAAATTTCTTCGACCAGAGTTGTTACATCAATCAGTGCATAAAATGGCACACGTGCTTGTGTTCACAAATCTTTTGGTTTGCCATAGTAAAACTGATGACTTTTACAATGAGCTCTTCGCCCCCAAATCACATATAAGTGATAAAATAAACGGCTGTATGCGACTCGTAGAATTTGATTCAACTGACCCTCTTGGCAGAGGCTACCTATGCTAAGTTTAAAGATGCAGGGCAGGAAACTAAAAATATTAGGCCTAAAAACCAGGTTCTGGCTTTCTAATAACATGTTCCCGCGGAATCTGAGGCGACAAAGCCAGGGAGGGTAACAGAACTCCACGTTGTCAGCTTCCAGAGAACTTTTAAGTGAGGCGTCGGTCAAGAAGACAGGTTTCTTCTCAAAGCAGTGAGACAGTACAGTACAGGCCACCGCCTAACGCCTTCCAGGAAACCGACCGGAACACTCGCCGCAGACTACACAGATGCTCAGACCGATTCAGGCTGTAGGGAGGAGCCCACCAGACCCGTCGGCGTGCGCGCGCCGAGATTCGCAGGCACGGCAGAACCGCGCGCGCACGCGGGCGAACCGCGCAGGTGCAATAGAGACCTCGTGTCCTCCGGATGGGCGTGGAACTGGGCGGAGCTAGCCACCCAGTGCGCGCTGATGCGACGGGTCGCGGCGGAAGGGTGTGGACGCGCAGGCGCAGTTGTTACTCCCGGATAGGTAGGCGGGGCCGCGCCTGCGTTTTGGGAGGCGGTAGTGGTGGTGGCGGCGGCGGCGGCGGCGGCAGCGGGAGAGGTAGCAGCGGCAGTTGTAAGGGGGTTCCAGGAAGATGGTGGTGATTAAAGAATTGTGAGTGGATCCGTGGGCGCGAGCGGGAGTCTAAAACGACGGTGGTGGGCGGTTCATTGGCTGAAAAATGGGCATATGTTTGTAAGACAGAGCTAGTCCCGGGCCGGTCGCTTCCGGCGGCCCCCCACCCCCGGCAAGTAAGCCGAACCACTCCCGGACCCTGCGCGGTGCGCCCTGGAACCCCAAGGGTTACCATGGTAACAGAGCCGCCTTTTCTGGGGCGTGGGCTGCTGGGTCTGGGTCCCAGCGTGTGGCTTGGGAAGGTGCGGCCAGAGTTTCCGTCGGGGCCAGCCTCTTCCCCTGTCCCTGCCACCCCTGTTGTTCTGGGCCCACCCTCAGGCCCACGGGTGGGACCGGCCTGTAATACGAGGATGGGGTGGGCGGGATGATCTGACTGTGATTTGTCGTCTGGGGTGGAGTTTTGCTCATACCCCGCGGGACAAGAGATCGCCAGGTGAAGGCGGGCAGCACTGGTGTCGGCACGTTGGCGCCCTAGAGTTCCAGCTGGAGCCGAAACCTGCAAAACCCACCCTCCCTTGGTTGGTCAGTTGACTTGACAAGAGAGCCATTTCTCTATCCAGAATCTCAGTTTCCTCATCTTTAAGATGAGACGACTTTCGGGGCACCAACCATTTAACAGGGTTGAGGTGAGGTGCAAGACGCTTGAACAACAGATGGGCAAAGGAATTTTCTTGTCGCGAAACGTCTGGTTGACACTCAGTGTCCCGAGTGTCAAACAAACTTGGTTCCTGTCCTCAATATATCTTGGGTAACTAGGGGTTTTTAGTATGGCCTGTTTATTTATTTATTTATTTATTTTTTGAGGCAGGGTTTCACTGTGTCATTTAGGTTGGCCTACAACTCACTTTGTAGCCTAGACTGGCGATCCTCCTGCCTCAGCCTCATTAGTGCTGGGATTACAGGCATGTACCACCACACTTGGCTCACTTTAAATTCTGAAGTAGAAAATGCTTTGACTTAAAGAATTTATTATTTATTTTTGGTACCAGGAAATCGAACTCAGGACCTTGTGCTTGCCAGGCAGGTGCTTGTGCCACTGAGCTTTTATCCCTAGCATTTTTGGTGTTTTTAAGAGAGTTGCTATGTAGTTCAGGTGGGCCTTGAGCGCCCTGTGCAGCCCAGTCTGACCTGGAATTCACCGCCATCCTCCTGTCTCAGCCTCCCAGGTGCGTAGGTTAGAAACATGCCACGTCAGACACTTTATTTTTGGTGTGTTATGTCCCTTTTATCATTAGTAGCCAAGCATGGTGAGCAGTCCTATAATTCCAGCAAGGCAACACTATGGCAAATTTAAGCCCAGCCTAGGCAATTTAGTGACTTGGCAGGAAAAAAAAAAAGTGATTCATGTACTTTTTGGTTTAAAACTGCCTTGCAAAACCTTACGTATGTTTTCTGTTCTGATCTCATTTACTACTTTTCCTTTGGCCACTCAAGTCTCACTTTGGTTTTTCTTCCTCTTCCACTGCTACTCTACAAATATGTAAACTTAATGTAGGATCTTTGCGTTTTTGCTCTGTCTGAAGTGCTCTTCCTCAGCTCACCAGCTCTCCTCCTCCGAGGTCTTCTTTCACCTCTGGGAATTTATGTGCTAGCTGTAGTCTCTACTACATGTGAGCTCCATGAATTTGTCTGTATTGCTCACTCTTTTGTCTTTCAGAGTAGTTCTTGCACATATATCAGTTAGGTGAATTGATGGAAGATTACAGCATCTGTCAGTGACGGATCCTGGAAAGCACAGTTTTGCTTTTTGCTGTAAAGTTTTACAGTTAAAACTTATTCCTAGTACTGAACTTTGGGTTTCTGTAAGTTTTTTCTTCCAAGTGTTTTCTAACAATGTATCATGCAGATACCATTTATTACTCTGATACCTATGTTATGAACATAGTGGCGGATACCAAGACTAATGGAGGAGTTAAGATGACAGAAATGAACTTGGCGCAAGCCATATGGCCCGAATTAAGGGAACTGATTCTAGATCAGATATCTAGTCATTTGATTAGAGTTAACGTTCTCCTTCTAAAAATGTGAATTAAGTGTTCAGCAGATGCCTTTGTCTGCTGTGTGGTAGTACCAAGCTAAGTCTTCTAAAGCAGTGCCCACTGGGAATTTGCATGCCATGCTTTACCTTCATGATGTAAATTTGTGTGCTAATGTAACAAATGTTGAGATATGCCTAAAGTCTATTTTTCCTAAGAGTGGAACATTGTTTTTTGATATTTATTCTTCCTGTGTGTCTTTCAGATTTTTTTTCCCATCTAGACTTTTTTTTTCAGGTGGAGACTGTTTCTTAAGTGTTTCTAGTACAACATGTGCTGTAGAATTGTGAAAATACTCAGTGCTGTTGAATAGAATTGTTTCTCCTACTCTGCTTTCACCTTTTTAAGATTGTCTTGTATCAGAAGTTTTTTTTTGTTTTTTTTTTTTTGTCTTTCTCATTTTTTTATCGGTACCAGGGATCGAACTCACGACTGCCTGCTTGCAAGGCAGGCGCTTATGCCGCTGAGCTAAATCCCCAGCCCCTTGTATCAGAAGTTTTAAATTAGAAAGTTGTAATCTCTTTCTGTGAAAGAAGTTTCTCTGCAAGTGTTGTTAAACGAAAATGGGGATCTTTCTGCTAGTGAGTATTTGCTAAATTCTCAGCTGTGATTCTTTGTCTTTTGGAAACTTCACGGAAAACTTTTCCCGCTTCCCTTTTCTCTACAGTTCCACATTTTGGGTCAGACCTTTTTGAATAATGCTCTAGGAGCCTCCCAAAAGGCTGCTTTCTCATCTTCCTGCTTCTCAGGGTTTCTCTCGGCTACAGATGTCTTCTTCAGGTCACCTGCAGTTACATCCCTTAGCTCTTGGAACGAACTTTCTGATTAATACATTTCTTTCCATTGTGTCCAAGTCCTATATTTTTCTAGTGTCTCATCTCTCAGTTTGTCTCTTACTGAGGCAGTGAGCAAAACTGTGCTCTGAGGGGACAGCTAAAATGATTAGGATTAGGGATTTTTGCTTCCGGAGGAACAACAGATTTGCTTTTTTTGGTGGCGGGTGGTGCGTGGGTACCTGGAATTGAACTCATGACCTTATTGTTTGCCAGGCTTAATGCTGCTGAGCTAAATCCCCGGCCCCTTTTTTGTCTTTTTGAGACAGGATCTCACTATGCAGTTCAGGCTGGCCTTAAGCTTATTTTGTACCTCAGGTTAGTCTCAGTCTGGCAGAGATCCTCCTGCCTCAGCCTCCTGAGTTGGGATTACAGGCGAGCACTCTTATACCTGGTGGACAAATTTGTTCTTTATGAGAATAGAAATTAGTTACTTGTATTTGGGAATATTCATTGTTTTTAGGTGAGCATTCAAACTTAGATATTTGAGAATAAAAAGAGAAAGGTGGAGCATATAGCTGAAATGTAAGCTTAACTGTAATGTGGATTGTATTATTTCATATTTTTGTAGAGAAAATGGACCAAGAATGTCTGTGTTGAAAAAAACTGTTGGTCATACAAACTAAATATCTCATAGAGAAAAGTAAAAAGAGAGAAGGCAGCTGAAAAAAAAAAAAGTAAAAATGAATAAAACCATTGGGAGTTTTCTACAAAATGTGAATTGAGTTGGTTGTGAGGGTTTTTTGTTCCCTTTTCCCTCTTAAAAGTTTAAGGAGGGCTGGGATGGGGGATATGCTCTCTCTAGAAAGCCAGATACTGTGAGACAGTTGATACATAGTTGATATGTGGAAGAGGCCTTGATTTTTTTGGAATTGATGGTAAAAAAAGTTAATGGTGAAAGTATTAAAAGATTTCCTTGTTAAAGTCTAGAGGTGAAATGTAGTCTTCTGATAAAATAATAAATTGCAGTTTTTTAAAATTCATCTGTATTTTGAATAAAATGAAAGTATAAAAGAACCTTTTTTTTTGAGACAGGGTTTCACCATGTAGTTCAGGCTGGCCTTAAACATACTTTGTAGCCCAGGCTGGCTTCAAACTTGCAGGGATCCTCCTGTCTCAGCCTCCTGAGTCCTGGGGTTACAGGCATGTGCCACCAGCCTACAAGTATCCATTTGATGTGTTTAGTAATGCATTCCGTTGAACAGAATCAAAAACATAAAAATTGACTCTATCCTGGAAAAGGTTACTCTATTTGTAAGGCTTCAGGTGGTTTCCTTAAAGTTTTTTCTTAATTCTGAAGGAGCCCTTATTACTAGCTTATTAGACTTGAATACTTGGGTAGTGAAGGAACAATTTGGACAAGCATTTGCTCAGGGAATTCAAGATGTGTATCCTGTGAGAAGCATCTTAAAAATGCACAGTATATAGGTAGTGAATACAGATATTCAACATCTCAGAAGGACAACTAAGTAGCCAATTTACAAAGAACAGATGTGCTGTACAGTTTTCAGTGATGAGTTTTAGTTTGTTTCATTTCCTTGCTCCTCACAAGAATCACTGCAACTACTCCTTTGGGGTTCTGGGTACCATGAGGATGTTCAACGCAAATGAACACTGTGATCCTGGAGTGGTAGTTTTTATTTTTACAGTTTAATAACTTGTAACGGATGTTGGCAGTGGGCACTGGAAAGATGTCTTCCATAATGGCTTTCTTGTGTCTCTGAATTTAAAGAGTTCTGTCAGTGGTGTCTTGGATTTAAATTATAAACTCCTTTATGTCTGAAGATACATATTTAAAGCCACTTTATGTGAAATACATATTCTTTTTTGTTTTTTCAGCCGTGTGGTTTTGCCGTGTTCTGTTCAGGAGGTAAGTTTCTCTTCTGCAACTTTTTATTGGTGTAATTTACTTTGGTATGTTCATCTGAACACACATCTTTGTAATATTTGTTTTTCAACACATCACGGATCATAAAGGACAAATGAATTTCTTTTATTCTGTGTTTTTTTGGAAGAGTCTAAAAAAAGTAATATAACCAGGGCAGGAATTCTTTCTGTACCATCCCAGAGAAATGAGACTGCAGCCTGAATTTAAACACCTTTTTATTTGTTGAGAGAAGTAACTTCCTATACTGTAGGATACTATGTATTGTAAGTTTTTATTATATATGAGTACTGTAGGGTATTTTAAATATTTGTCATTACTTTAAATCAAAAGCTGCTTTTCTGGGCTTGTTGGATATTGTTGATACTTCATCTAACTTTAGCAGTAGGAATTAGGCCTGCTCTGTCTTACTCTTTGTAATCCTTTTGTTTTCTTATGGCAGCTCTCCCTGCCAACTCAGGTACCTCCCCAGCAAGACCTTTAATCCCTGTTATTTATGTATTTATTTAGAGACAGAGTCTTGCTGTGTAGTTCAGGCTAGCTTTGAACTCATTTTGTAGCCCAGGCTGGCCTCGAACTCATGGAGACCCTCCTGCCTGAGCCTCCCGAATACTGGGATTACAGGTGTGTACCACCATGCCTTTTATTCTGTTTTAGACGGTCACAGTGTTAAATGTTTCCAGCACTGTCATTTGGTGTCATATTACAGAACTTCTAGACTTCTTTACCAACTGGCCTAATCATTGCATGTGTTAGAGTTGTCACTTTGAAAAAAGTATTCCAGACATGTTCTGACTACTATTAACTGTGAGAGCTTGTTTTATTTGATCTGCCCTTGATGTAGAAATACGTCATCTATAGAGAGTCTATGTCTTGTACTTGTAGGTAGTTGTAAGACCGCCAAACTGAGGACAAAGGTAGAAAAGCTGGCTGAGTAAGATATGGTGTGTGTAGAATTCATAAACCCCGCTGGGCCCCGGAGGTTGCAGGTAGCTCCTACTCAGCCAGTTACCTGGTTTCCCTAAGGCTGGCGGCAGAGCAGAGCAATGAACTGGAAATGAGATGGCGCAACCCGGTAACCGGGGAAGTGCAGGAACTAAAAAGATGTAGCTGCCCGACACTGTTTAGTGCGCACGTGGACACAGCTGTAGATGCCTCAGTGCTGCCCGAGGTTGCACTGTGTTATAATACACTGAACGTGAACCAGGCACTGTGTTTTACTGTATTTGCGCAATTGATTGTTTAAATTCCTGTGTGGAACTTGACATCGTTAGATTGTTTTCCTTTTGGTTTTCCCTGGTTGAATAAAGTTGTTAAAGTCTCTGGATCTTGCAGTATCACTCAAACAATCTTCTCAGCTTTTTGTTATATCAAGATTTAATAAGCACGGCTCTTGTCTCTTAAGTTATTCTTACAACAAGAGAAAAACATAGCAGCATACCACAAATTGTCAGTTCGCTAACAACTTTTTAAAATACAGTTGTTTAGATGTTTCTGTGTACATTTTTGTTACTGTATTCCTGATCAAGATCAAATTTAACTTTTGGTTTAGAGACATTTTAATCTTGTTTTAAAATTTAATCTTGTTTAATCTTTTTAATATCACAGTATTAAAAAGTATATTTTGAAGGACTTAAGCATGGCATTACTAGACTTACTGTAGTGTTAGGTCATGGAAAACCTCTAAAAGAGGAAAGAGCCTTCTGAAGTCTAAAATCCCAACATACTTATTTTGGGAGCACTTAAAATATTTATTTGGTCCCAAATCCCTCTAAATTGACTACAACTGTGTGTGTTTTTAAAAGTTAATTTGCAAGATAGCCTATCTCTATGATATCCTTTTTACATAGGAATGTTGCCTGAGCTTAAGGTGACTCATTTTTTTTCCTCTCAAAAACTTTAAGCCAGTTGTGATAGCATAAACCTGTAATCATAGTACACTTGTATACAAAAGTGGTAGGATCACACGTTCAAGTCCAGCTTGAGCAACTTGGCAACTTTGTAAGGGTCTATCTCAAAATTAAAAGTGTAGGGTGTAGCACAGTGTGAAGGCTCTGGGTTCAATCCCCACTATCCAGAAAAAGTTAGTTTTGAATTACAGATTCTAAGAGGTAGGTTTTTGTGCTTTTTCTTTGTGCATACTTAATAAAGAGGGAAGATACTTTTTAGGCTGTCTTCATTGGAAAAAAGTTTAGTCAGATTTGCAGAGCAGGAGAGATTGGAGATCATGCCAGGGTTTGGTCATGAAACAAGTTGGAGACCATGGGAATTTGCTTTACCTGTCGGGATCTGCTGGCGATACAGAACAATACTGAGTATTGATGCATACCACTAAAAATTTGGTTTGACCAGGCCTGGGGTTGCACACCTGTAATCCTAGCACTCAGGAGTCTGAGTCAGGAGGATCACTGTAAGTTGGAGGCCAGCTTGGCCTACCAAGTGAGTTCAAGGCCAGCCTGAACTGCGTAATGACCCTGCCTCAAAAAGGTCAAAACAAAACAAAAAAAACCAGGAAAAAGTTTGGTTCATTTAAAATGAAACAGATACTGCTCTTGCAATTTCCTGCCTTTTATGGTAATATTTGTGTACTTATAGTACCTTAAAAGTTTATGTTTACTAAGCAACTTTGTTTAAAAGTTCTGATCCTGGCTACTCAGTGCTGTTTCTGTTAAACTGAGCAAGGACCAAATTGGGCATGTCATATACAAGTCACAAGTTTACTGAAATTTGGACTGTTACAGCTCTTTGGATCACCGGGCTTTTGTTCTACTTTATTTCTTTCCTATTTGTTAATAAGGTCAAAATTCTGGTTGCTCAGCTTTAATTTACAAAGTGACAGTTGCATTCTTGTCATACCTTCCTGAGAATGTTGTGAAACTGAGATATAACAGAAGTGAAAATGACTTGGAGAGTGCAGGTGTGCCTTGTTCAGAAATTAAACCACATGTCAGGAAGGCTTCTTGGTGAATGGACAGTACATATTAAAGCCACAGAGTATTTTTAACTGGCAATGGTTTGAATAATGAAAATCCTGTAAAATATATAGTTAGTTAAAGCTGTGTTAGCTGGTGTTTGCTTTTTTAGACATTAATTTCTAACTTGAGTCATGTTTTCATAAAGAATATAGGTGGTGACTGGTCAGAGATACACTTTCTGTATCTTCTAGTAAGATTTTAGCACAAGAAGTTTCTGCAGTTACTACAGACTTGTTAAAACTCTACTCTGAAATTTCAGTATCAGGTCGGACAACTTTACTCTGTCGCAGAGGCTAGTAAGAATGAGACTGGTGGTGGTGAAGGAATTGAAGTCCTGAAGAACGAGCCTTATGAGAAGGATGGAGAAAAGGGACAATTTACACACAAAATTTACCACCTAAAGAGGTAAGTGGAGTGTTCGTATTTGATGCCATGACTAATAATGTAATGCCTGTCTCACAAGGTGAGGTACTTTGTTACATTTCAGTGTGGTGTACTGTGTATTAATTTGTTCAGAAGACCTCCCACCCTGGTTATTTTTAAATTATAGAAGTAACGTATACCTGCATAATAAAAATTAAAGCAACAGAGAAGTCTATAACTTCTCTGTCCTTCACCACTAGCTATCAAGCATCCATAATCAAAGAAACACTTGAAATAGTTTAGGGATAATCCTCTTGCATCATTCTCTTTACAAAGACAAAGATTTAAAAGCAGTAAGCACCCAGGGAGATAAATCACTTGTGTCATTTTTAGTGTTTTACAAATAGACTCATACTATACAGCTTGCTTTTTCATGTAAGGATATATTGTGAATATCCTCCACGTTTTTATTGAATATCCATGTGACTCCTTTTAAAGCTGAGTAAAAAGTTTTAGTTTACCTAGCTATTCCCTAAATGGTAGGTTTTCTTAAGGATTATAAATGTTTTCTAGTGTCTTTTACAAATACTGTCTCTCTAATGCTAAAATTCATCTGGAACCAGAAGACCTAGAATAGCAAAGGCAGTACTTCCCAGAACAGTTAAAAACATCCTACTACAGCTGTATATGTGCACCCATTTGTACATGTGCAGCACAATTTGTAATAACCAGATCTTGGAAACAAGTGCCCATTGAATGAAGAATGGATGAAAAGGATGTGATATTTTATACAATTGTAAAGAGTATTGTAAAGTTGTAGATTGGTTGTGTGTATCCGTATTGTTTTGTGTTTTTCTCAGTTAAACTCTACTGCTTATAATTGTATCATTGAGGTCTGCATTTCCTTGTTTTTGTTGTATAGTTCACTTGAGAAATACAAGTGTCAGTTGAGATAAAATTTTGACCTTTTAGATGGCATAGTCTGTATAATAGTGACGGTATTGAATTTATTTATTTATTTATTTTTGTCTTTTTCATTTTTATTGGTAGCGGGGATCGAACTCACGACCACCTGCTTGCAAGGCAGGTGCTTATGCTGCTGAGCTAAATCCCCAGCCCCTGAATTTATTTTTGTATACTCAGCTTTCTTTTTCTAAAGTTTGTTTACTCATTAATTGAATTTTGCTAACAGTTTTTCTTAAACACTGAACTCTTTCTTGGAATTAGTTTAATATGTGAAATTTTCTACTGGCCATGGCATCCTTTTTAGATGCTATTCTATGTGTGAATAAATTTCAAATAGATTCATAATATTCTGATTGACAGCTGAATGTTGTAATATTGGGGAAATGTTTGATAATACTACATGGACAGATTTTAAGTTTCATGTTTCATGCTTTTAAAACACCTAACAGCTTTTCAAAAACATAGTAAGGCTAGTGTAATGGTGAATGCCTGTAATCTCAGCTACTAAGGAGGCTGAGGCAGGGGAATCACAAACCAATCAGAAAAAATCCTAGAAAGAGATTTCCTGAAATGTTAAGAATGGTTGACGAGGTGGCTGAGTGGTTAAGACAACGATGGACTGCTAAGATGTTAAGACTATTTATCACTTGGTGATGGGAGGAAGGATGAGCTTTTAAACTTTTACTCTAAAATTAAAGAGTAAAAATTTTTACTCTTAATTTGTTTTGTTTTTATTTTTTAAATTTTATTTTAAAGGGAATAAGACCAAGCAAAATAAAACAGAATAAAGCCAATCAAAACAAACCAGTGTGACACAGGACTTCAAAACAACACAGAGTCAACAATTGTTAACATAATGCATCTTATTGTCTTCCGTGTAGGTGCAGAGACCTTCAGACATAGTAAAAATCAAACAAACAGAATAGAACCAATAAAAACAAAACAATGCATGCAATAAAGGACTTCAAAACAAGACAGTAGTAAATCCAAAATGGCTTCTGTAATATGTCTTGCTGTCTTTGAGATAGCTGCCCAGGCCATTAGATACAACAAAATCAAACGAAACAAAATGGAATAAAACCCAACCCAACAAAATAATGAAAATGGTACAGGACTTCCAAACAAGATAATACGGAATTAACAATGACTACCACCTTGAGAAGATCATCCATAGATGCCACACTGTACCGTGATCCTCTGAATAGGTGATCACTGGCCCTCGCCCTGCAGAGTCAGTGAAACACCAAACACCCCAAGCATCACTGCATTTCATCTCAGTAGCCATCATTGCAGCCTGTGTTTCTCCGGAGCAGCCGGTTGCTTGCAGGGTGGGGGTTAGCTCTTGCTTCCCAGCTGTGCGCCAGAAGGGGCTAGGGTCTGGCTGGCCTCCCAGTGGCAGTGGCCTGCGCGTGTCACTGTTCCTGTTTAGGTTTTGAGACAGGATCTTATTCTGTAGTTTAGGCTGGCCTTGAACTCTGTGATGTCGTCCAAGTTGGTCTCTGAACTCACAGCAGTCCTCCTGCCTCAGCCTCCGAGTGCTGGGGTTATTTCATTCTTATGAGGAGAAAACTGTTCATTATCAGTTTTAAAACATCTGATTTAGATCACACTCAGCCATAAATCATGAGATTCTTCGGTTGAAGACTATAAATATGATTAGTCCAAGTGATATTTTTACTCCAGATCTTATTTGGGCTAGAGGTTCTGAATTCTACTCTCAGGCCTTTAGTGGATTAAATAAAGGAAAGTCTTGCTTTTTGGGGGACTAGCCTTCCTGCACACTTGGGCTTCTAGAATAGCTTCTTTATTCCCAGATGGAGCTGAATCATTCCATGGGAGCCTTTGGTTTTACCTCTTCTGTGCACTCTTTTCTTGTTACAGTCTGGAGAAATAGGCAGTATGCAGAGTGTACATGAGCATTTACTAAGGAACAGGCTTATTCCAGGTCACACAGCCTATGGTGTGAATGTGGTGGATGTGATTACTCTGACTTCTGCTCCCCTTTAGATCATAAGAGGCAACTCCAGCGCTTGGAGTCCAGTGGGCGTGTCTCCATGAAGAGGGAGAGAGGAGGACTGACTAGATGGAAATGAGTGTTTGATTCCCCACCCCCTTAAAAAGAAAAGATAGCACTGTGGATAGAATCACGAGACACAGAGGGGGAAAGTGAAGTGTGTGGCAGGAGTGGGCCTCAGTTAGTGTGACAAGTGGTAAGCACGCAGTAAGAGTGAGAAAAAACTAAAAACCTGTCTAGTGGTGACAGCGCTGCACAGACCAGTTGCTGATGTAGTTTGGGAGGGAGAACGGCAGCTGGAGCAAGGGCAAGCAAGTGTGTGCATTCAATTCATCAGCGTTAAGTAGGAAGCACGTTAGCCACAGTACAGCCATGTTATTGAAGGTGAAGAACCGTTCCTGGTAAGGCCTAAGGCCTTGTCACACTGTAGAAAGACCTTGGTCCTAGGGCAAGCCTGGCGGTACAGCCCCTTAATACTTCCGCTTCCTAAGGATAGCTTCAGGTTAGCTTGTGAAGGTGTGCCCGCCGTCCGTGCAGAGTTTATAGTGCTGTCTCTGAGAAAGTTAAATTTGGGCCTTAACATGTATTTCCTTTTCTAGTGTTACTAAATTAGTTAGTCCAAGCGATGTGCACTGCCCTTGAAAGTGTCAGTAGAATCACAAAGTTGGCTAAAGCAACCAAGACCTTGTTTTCCATTTGAGATGTTTGAAATTCAGAGTCACTTTATCTAGTGGTAACCAGTCTCTGGAATCTGGCCAGTGTATACTTTCCCATTTTTGCAAAATACTTCTTGGTAAGATTTATATACTTAATCTCAGCCCGAAGGTTGAGAAACAATCTTGAGAAGGTACTAGGAAAATAGAGGGAACATTTCAAGTGTCTGTTTTCCTCAGATCTTAGTAGCTGGCCTCTTGTCTTGTTGCGCGTTAGTGGCAGAGATAGTGCGTGAACCCAGGCAGGCGCTGTGACTGCAGAACCAGCCGTCGTGAGCACTTTGGCTGTTCCTGTGCCCTGTGGAAGGTGGGAATACTTTCCCTTCCTGAAGTGCTTCCTGAAGCGCTCGCCTAGACATTCTCCAGAACCACAGGCTCACCGTGTCTCGTTTCTTACATCTTTAAAGTCTTACGTCCAAAGTAAAGTTAAACTTAAGGTACTCAGGAATATTCACATTCTCCCAATTGTTAAAGCTCCCTCCAGAATAAAGATCTGGCACTAAGTAAGCCATTGTCTTTTTCTGTCTTCTCTAGAGATAACCTGCCCCAGGTTTTGTCCACCTGCTGGACATTTTTCTTCTGATGTTTAGGCCTTTTCTAATCTGCTTGGTGTTTCTGAGCTGTGTAGACGTTGTTTGGTTACTTAAATGCATACTGACTTTTCGTCCTGAACTCATTTTTTGTCCCTTCTATTCATTTTAACATTGGACCAAGTATTTTTCCATATGTATGTATACGTATTTGTCATCTTGTACCCTGTTCTCCACAGAAATTCTTTAATACACACTGAATGCTGGTGAGGGAGAAGAGGGTTTTCTAAGTAGAGAATTTCTTTTGAGACATTCTCACTATGTAGTTCAGGCTGGTCTTGAACTCACAGCAATCCACCTGCTTCAGCCTCCTGAGTCCTGGGACTATAGAGTATATAGGTATACGCCACCACGCCCAGCTACTAGAGAATTTTGAAGAATTTTAGGGAAATCTGTTGCAAATTTGAGATGGTTATTTCAGAGAAAAGCTTCTAGCTCTCCTGAAACCTCCCTGTATGAACCCACTGCTCAGTCCTTTTTGTTAGATTTTTACGTTTTCCTGTCTTGTGGGAAGTCAGCTTTATTCTTTTGTCAGTTCATGAGAGTTACGTCTTTACCGTCTCCAGTCGGTCCTGAAGTTTGTTATGCTTTGCCAGTGCCAGAATGGCCCTGTTTTCCAAAGGTTGAAACAAAAAATGTTTTACTGAAAAATTGTTTTAAAATGTCATGTGGTTTCAAGGTAAGAGTTCATTTTTGTAATCAAAAAAGAGTCATGTGCCAGGAATTTAAACTATATTTTAAAATGATAAGCTTAAAACATATAAAAATTCAAACTTAAATTAAATATGATGTTTTACATGAGTGAGCATTTTGTGCAAGTAAGAAATAAATAGTAGCTAAATATGAAAACTCATTCTTGAGTTGAAGATTAGCCATCACAGACACACTTTTTTTTCTAGGTAGATAGTTCAGTCTTAAATTTTCCATAATTCTGCCTGGCGTAGTGGTGCATGCCTGTAATTCCAGAACCTGGGAGACTGAGGCAGAAGGATTGCCATGAGTCGAAGGCCAGCATGGAATATGTAGTGAGTTCAAGGGTAGCCTGAATTACATAATGAGACCCTGTCTCAGAAAAATAAAAGAAAAAAAAATTTCTTCTGAATAGCGATTCTGTACTGGGAATATATTCTTTTATTTTTCTTTGTTTTTCCCCAAATCCATTTTATTTCAAGAATAAAAAGAAAGAAAAAAGGAAGGAAAAACTACAACAAAATTTCAAAACTTGTCAGCCAGGGGGCAACAATGGCACATACACTGCGGGTTGCCAGAAATATTTTCTGAAAATACATTGTTTTCCCATGGCATGTCTCATCTTTCAGTATGTTTTGTTAGGTGAAAAATACTTTGTTTTTTGTAAGTCTTTCCTTTTTTAGTCTTGTATTTTCCAGAAGTTAACCAGTTTGTGTCTGGTTATTTTATTTCTTCCCATCAATCCATTTTTGAAATCACTTTTGTATTTTTTCCCCCTCATGGTTCTTTTGCTTCTTTTTTAATCTAAGTTAATCATCTTCTCTCAGATTCTTTCAGTTGTTTCCATACTGATATCTAGCCATCTTTTAATATTGACATACAGTTTACATCCTTGAAGTTTATTTGGTTGGTTGCTTGGTTAGTTAATTAGTTGGTTTTTTGAGATAGTATCTCACGGTAGTTCAGAGTGGTCCTGAACTTACTGTGACAGAATTGCCTTGCCCCCAACAAACAGATGCAGAGCCATTGTTACACTGAAGTGAAACCTCACACTGTCTCCCCTCCACACAATTGAATCAAACACTGTTTGTACCAGTGTTAAATGTGCCTAGAGCGCATCCAGAGGCAGGAGAAGAGTTGATGTTCTTGGAGCGCTTTCACGCCTTTAGGCATCCCGGGGTGTATACTACTTAGTCCTCAGCACCTTCATTACCTTGAAGGACATGCTGTTGTAAATGTTGGCTTATATGAGAGAGCACCATTTTGTCAGTAGTTTGTGGGAGAAGAGTATGTCCTTTACCTGTGTTAGTTTTTGAAAGTCTGGTTCCATTTTGTAAATTCATTTTATGTGTGTTCCATTTCTGAGGCTTGCCAAGCTTCAAAATAGTTATTTCCTGCATTTTATTAAAGTGACTTCCTGAGTGATACTGATGGAAAAATGATGTATGTGCTTTCAGTCATCTTTATGGCGTGCCTGGACTGCCTTGGTAGGATTTATTATGATTAGGAGTATATTAATGAAAATTCCTCTCCTTTATGGTGGGTTCGAAATTAAGTTGTACTTCATTTATGTATTTTTGCCATTTATTAATTTACTTAGATTCATTGAGGAGAGCTATATCTGTAATGTTTTACTGTTAAATGTAAAAGTAAGTTCAGAACAAAACAAGCCCATAGAGTTGGACTTTTAATTCTAAATCAAAACAAAGATGAAATGTTGAAATTCATAGGGTAGGAAAAATACCCTGATGGAAAGACAGTAGTTATTGGGATCAAGTTGAAGAAACATTAAAACTTTCCTGTAGATTTGCTTCCTGTTGGCCATCAGTAACTGCCTTTTTTTGATTAGCAAAGTCTGGGACGTTTCACTTTGGAACATTTTTAGATGTTGAAGTCTTTCCTCAGGAGGCTGTGAAAATATGCTTCTGAGCTAACAATACATAGCTGTGTAGCTGTTTCTGGTCTGCCTTTCTGAGTTAATCAGCTGACTACTAATGGACGTTTGTCATTCTCTGAAATGAATCAGAAACCTTGGAGCTTGTCTTCAGTTACCAGTATGTTTTATGCTGTGCCTTAAGTACACCTCACTCATATTAACGAGATAAAAGTTCTAGTTCTTGAATAATGTAAGAAGGCTTTGGTGGTGGATGTTCTTTGACTTTTAAGGCAATACTATTTTCATTTATCTTGGCTTCATATTTCTAGAGTTTGAATTGTTCTACAATTAGAAAAGACCAAATCATCAAAGAATTAGCCCTCCTCATTATTATCTGTGAAGGGTGTGAAGGTGTGTAAACAAAACCGTTTTTGGCCCTGGAATCTACTTGCACTGCCATATGTAAATGTACGTTAACTTTTGCTTTACTGTGATAGTTTGTCAGAATACTGAAATTTGCAAACTGTACGCATCTGTTACATACAATAGGTCAGATGTCTGGGAGCTAACAGGAAAAGATTGTGCGTGCCACCTCTGCTGCTGCACAGCTCTCTGCAGAAGTGAGGCTCTTCACCGTAGACCGTACTTAGTCTCCAGACTTCAGTACAGGAGTAGTTCTGGCCAGAAGTCGTTTCTGTGCTCCGTTTTTGCACAGTTTATTACTTCTTTAGTAGCAGCAGTTATTTGAAAGTTCTCAGGCTAGGTATAATGGCGTACTCAGCACTTGGGAGGGTGAGGCACTGAGGTTTGTTGTGAGAGTAAGGCCAGGCTAAGCTGTGAGCTAAGGCCCGACTAAACTCCAGAGCAAGACCCTGTCTCAACAGCAACAACACAAACAAAAAGTTCTTTAAAAAAAAAAAAAAAAAGCCAGCTGTGATGTGGAAAAAGACTAGATACTGGTTAAGTTGGAGGACATACTGTAGTTTGGACAGTTAAAAAGTCAGTTATATGCTGGTTATCTGAAATGATGACATAATACTTCATTCATAGTATTACTGGAATTTGTTAAGAAAGCATGTGAACATACCTAGCTTCATGTCATAATTTAAAATGAATACCCTTTTTTGAGCTTTTATTGTACTGCATGATGTGCTGAATACATTATGGATTTTCACCTGATTTAGTTCTTTAGTGACTGGGATAGGTAAGACTAACTCTATTCAGCACATGAGGAAGTTCATAGGAGTCACGTAATAGGCTGTCACTTGTAAGTGTTGGGATTTGAGTCCAGGTTGTGTGAACCTCTGGTGTTGATAGTAGGCTCCAGTCAGTAAAAACAGTTATTTTTGAAGACTTCCAAGATTGATTTTCTGTTTATGTGTTAATGAATATGGTTTTCATGTTATATTGATAAATCGATCCATCTTTCTCTTTCTCTCTGCCTCTGTCTGTTGGAGTTGCTCCTGTTAGGAATTTACACAAGCTTCCTAGATTTGAATATTAATCATGTGTTTAACCCTTGGTTTGTTCATACTTGAGGCAGTGAGTGGCGGTCATTGCTTACACTATATGCAGAATTTTCTTTTTGTTTTTTTTTGTCTTTTTCCTTTTTATCGGTACCAGGGATAGAACTCACGACTGCCTGCTTGCAAGGCAGGTGCTTATACCACTGAGCTAAATCCCCAGCCCCCTATATGCAGAATTTTCTACTTGGGATGTGCTCGATTCTCATTTTCTATACAATCACATTGTCACTACTTTTGGTCTGTTCTGTAAAATATAATAAGAGTACATCAAAAGAGATACTCTTTTCTCAGTCTTTTTTGTATGAGGGAACCTAATAGTGTCGTCTTAGCTATATAAGAAAATTAATATGTTGTATTAATGTACAGGCAGGTAGCGTAGTCATTTGTTAGTTTTCCCTTTAGTGGAAAGATTGAAAGCTGCTAAGAAAGAATTGTTTCCGTGAAAAACAGCCACCTATATAATTGAAGTTCCTAAATTATAATTTTTAACATTAATTTTCCACGTACTAGTTTGGAATGGAAATAAAACTTGATAGTAGTTTTGGAGTTGGGTGTGGTGTCACACACCTATACTCCCAGTACACTTGATGCTGATGCGGGAGGATCCATCAGCTTGAGTTCAGAGCCAGCCTGGGCTATACAGTGAGTTCAAGGCCAGCCTGAATTATGAAGGGGGACCCTATCTCAAGGAAAAAGAAAGTCTTGAATACTTTATCAAACTTAGAACATGATCACATTTGCTAATTATTGTTTCACTCTTTTCAACAATAAAAAAATTGATAATATACTTGAAAATATATCTAATTTCTCTTCACAGCAAAGTCCCTACATTCGTGAGGATGATTGCTCCCGAGGGCTCCTTGGTGTTTCATGAGAAGGCCTGGAACTCGTACCCCTACTGTCGAACAAGTAAGCCTGCGCCCTTCCCGGCAGCCCTTTGCCACTGAGCACCAGGGTAAGGAGGCCGCTGGGTGCCGAGACCTTAAGCTTCAGGGTACACCTCACAGGCCTTCTGTGGGTTCTTGAGTGCTCACTGCTTTGGGGTGTCCCCGAGATTTTTATGAAGGGCATGAGTTCTCCCGCAGGTGACAACCACATTTGGGTCTCCAGTGACCCTTCTGGTTCAGGTGAGCAGATGGATGTGGAAGTCACAGTGAAGGTTATCTGTGCTCGGAAGTGCCTTCTAGTGCACTTTCTGCAGTGCTTTACTAACTGTGCCACGTGCTGGGAGGAATGTAACAGGCTTCTAAACAGTTTCCCGTTGGTTGCTGTTAACTTTAACTGGTATTTTGTTACACAGCACTGTTCTCTGTAGCATTACTAAAGTTAGGTTATTCTCCATACCTTATTTGGACTCTGTAATTTAAAGTATCCTATGGTGTTACTTGTGTAGAAACTGTTTTGAAGGCATAAGCTACTAAATGTTCTGTGTTTTCAGGTAGTTTAGTCTTTGTGACATAAAATATTGGGACAGATTGTTTTACCTCCAATTAATCTGAAAATTTTCCTGTTTTATTGCCTGCCTCTCCATTGTGCCTCAGTTGTAACGGTAAGACTCTTTTTGTAATATAATCTTCACCTTTCAATTCTGTTCTGCATAATAATTGCTTTCAATCATTGTTGACTTTTTTAATGAAAACTACGCATTGCTGCCTGCCCCTCCCTCCCTCCCTCCCTCCCAGCTGTCCGCTTGCGCTCCACACTTCCGCAGCGTGCACGGGCTCTCCCCAGCTCTGCCTTGGGGTCTTCCTGTTGATTTTACTGTGCTTTTGCTACTTTATATGCCACATTGCTGACCAGGCTTCCCAGCTTCTTTATTAGCCTTGCATGCTGAATGATAAGTGGCATTGTTTAAATTGTTTAAAAGCATGCAGCATTTAGTTTTCGTGACAAGTCTGTAAGAACTGTAGCTAATACTGTGTCACTGTTAGAGGGCCTATTTGTAAAATCAAAGCATGCATGCTTGTGCTGGGAGTGCTTCTGGAGACACAGCCCCTCCGAGCTGGGGGACATCACTTCCCTTTTTCTGTTGTTTTCTGCAGAATGAATATATGAAAGATGACTTCTTCATTAAAATTGAAACGTGGCACAAACCGGACTTGGGAACATTAGAAAATGTAAGTTTGAGTTTTCTACACTAAAAGATGTAGAATCTCCTGTGAATAGGGATTGCTATATGTAGAAAACATGGTAGAAAGCAGACTTGGGAATGTGAGCAAAGTGATGCGTTGTTAATCAGCTTGGCACCTGGTCACATCAGGCCCGTCAGATTGAGGTGAGGGAAGCAGGCAGCGGGGCATAAGCGTGCTTTCTCTGTCCCCTGCCTTGGTGCTTGAGTGTACTTTGGTGAGCTTGCTGTTCTAGTCAGCAGTTCTCTGGAATAGGGAGAGTGTGGAACACAGATAATCTCCAGCCCAATTTTAGCCATTAGTGTTAGATTGCTTTCATCTCTGTGTTTGCCAGAGCTGTTGTCCATACCGCAGCAGGATTGATTGCTTTGATTTTCACCTGCATTCCAGTTTGCTGGGATAGGAGTTGAAGTCAGAGAAGTGATGTACGTCACCTAGGCTCAAAGAAATGTGATCATTAAGGATTTTTGGGGAGCTTGGGAGGGTGTCTGGCTTACTTTTTTATGTGCCCTTGGCTTGGTGATGCTCAAAAGTGTGCCTGGAGAAGCAGTAGCGTAACACCATAAGCATTTCTGGGTACTTGTTAGAAATGCGTTAGTTTGGCTCCACACAAGAACTACTGAATCAGAATTTCTCGGGATGGAGCTCAGCAGTCTGTTTGCTGGTGCAAGTCCCAGTTGGAGAGCTACTATCCAAACTTAGGATTCACTGTAACAGAAATACAAAGTTCAGTATTGTGGTGAATTTTGTTCTTTTTCTGTGCTTTTTTTTTTTTTTTTTTTTAATGGTAGCAACGTTTTATTAAAGGTAGGAAAAGAAACAGGCTCTACAAAGCAAGTTTGTGCCAAGTAAAACGAAAAGAAGTACATTCTGTAGCATGAAGGTGGGCCACCATGGAATAACACAGGAGCCAAGTCTGTTATGCTGTTTTGTTCTTGATGCCAGTTAGAACTTTCAACTTTTCAATTTGCAGTACTTGAGTTTTCTTTCAAGTGATCATTTGACATTTTATGTTTTTTAATAACTCTCTAAGATAGGGTCTAAAGGGATGATTAGGTATTTTTTAATCTATATAATCTGCCATTTCCTGCTTTCAAGTAAGCATATCTGTTGACAGTTTTTTAAACAACTCTTAATTGGTTCATAGATTTTCAGAAATAAATGATTGATCAACATGAAGTATAGAGTTGCCATCCCAGTGAAAAGGAATAACTTTGGGGTAATCACATTTTTTGAGACAGGGTCTTGCTGTGTAGTCCCAGGCTGGCCTCAAACTTACATTGTAGTCCAGGTTGGCCTTGAGCTTGCAGTGATCCTCTTGACTCAGCCTTCAAAGTGCTGGGACTAGCAGTGTTTGCCTCAAACTCAGAAAAGTTTTTTTTTTTTAAATTTTTTAAAAATTTTATTGAAAAGGAAAAAGAGAAAAAACAAAACAAAGCGGTGTAAGGGTACAAGTAATACAGAACTACAAAAAAAAAAAAAAAAAAAAAAACCAGTAAGAAATCACCAGTTAATAGGTTACACATTATCATCTTAGAGATAGTTGCTCAAGTCACAGCATCAAAGCATACAAAGTGGACATTCAAACAGTGAGACTGCAAACAGTTGTGTTCAATGATCCAACCAAAAACGTTAATATGGTCAGCTATTTAACACCCCAACACACTTGCAGTTGTATCCCTTGGAGCACTTTCTTTCCCTCACCTTTTTACAATAAAATTTACACATTTTGGGTTTTATTACTCCTTAGTTCTTATTACTTTTTTTTTTTTTTTGAAGAGAATAAAGTCAAATATGGCATAACAAAGCTGTCAGTCAAAACCAACAATAGACATAGCACATGATGTAAAAACAGAGTACAAGGTTATCAACAATGGTTACCATAATGCCTCTTGTTTCCTTAAAAAGAATTGTCTATCTCATTAGATATTATAAAGTTGAACAAAACAGTAGAGAACAAGACCAATAAAACTTAAACATTGTAAACATTACAGGACTTCCAAAGGAGACAATAGTCAAACCAGAATGGGCATCTTAGTGAATCTTATTGCCTTCAAAGTAGTTGCCTATACCCTCAAACTTGATACTATCATATAGAACGGAACAGAGTCTAATCAGTCAAAACAAGATCGTGGGATTATTACAGGACTTCAAAACAAGTTAATAGGAAATCAGAAAAAATTAATATATCCTGCTAATTTTTAAAATTTTTCCCCTTAATTAAAAAAAACCATAAAAAATAAGTAATTTTTTTAATGAATAAGGGAGAGATTGCGATAAAAGAGGACATAACAATATAACAATACAGGTCAAAGCATGACTGTTTCAGTAACCTAGTGCTTCACCACCAAATCGTAGTTACCATAGTGTCTGTCTTTTTCCTTGAAATATTTGAATAAAACTTCATATACTATAGCTTCAAATATTTCCATATCAAGCAGCCCAGAATAAAGCCTTTCCAATTAATAAGTGAAAACTTTATAAGGCTTCAAGGCCACGTAATGGGGAATCATGATTATCACATACACATTAGGGAAACTATTCGATATTCACACATGTGAGATTGATTTATTTCACTTATGAGTATGGTCTCAAGCTGCGCCCATTTATTGATAAATATCTCAATGTGATCCTTCTTTATAGCTGAGTAGTACTCCATTGTATAGAAATACCACAACTTTTTTATCCATTCCTGGTTGATGGACACTTGGGTTGTTTCCAAGATCTGGCGATTACAAATTGTGCTACTATAAACATAGGTGCACATATATCACTGTGGTATGATGCTTTCAGTTCTTCTGGGAATATGCCTAGAAGTGGAATAGCTGGAATAAATGGGACTTGCAATCCCAGCTTTTTGAGAAATCTCCAGACTGACCTCCACAAAGGTTGTACCGGCCTACACTCCCACCAACAGTGTAGGAGAGTACCTTTTTCCCCACAGCCTCTCCAGCATTTGTTGTTGTTGGTTTTCTTGATCCTGGCCATTCTTTCAGGAGTGAGATGGTATCTCAGTGTGGTTTTAATTTGCATTTTTCTAATGACCAATGATGATGAACATGTTTTCATGTATTTATTTGCCATTTGTATTTCTTTATCTGAGAAGTGTGTATTCATCTCAGATGCCCATTTTTGGATTGGATCTTTGAATTTTGGGGGTCTGAGTTTTTTTAATTCTTTATATGTTTTAGACAAGAGTCCCTTGTCTGAGAGAGAGTTCACTAAAATCTTTTCCCAGTTTGTGGGTTTTCTTTTCACTATGCTGGAGATTTCTTTTGACATGCAGAAACTTTTTAATAAGAAGTGGTCCCAGTTACTGATTCTGGAAAGTTATTTCCTGTGCGGTTTGAGTCCTGTTCATGAATTCTCTACCTACTCCTGTATCTTAAGATTTCTACCCAGTTTGTCTTCTAATAGATTTAGTGTTTCTGTTTTAATACTCAGATCTTTGACCCATTTAGATTTTAATTTAGTACATGGTGATAGACATGGGTCTAGCTTTAGTTTTCGGCAAATGGAGAGCCAGTTTTTCCAGCACCCAGAAAAGTTTTAATTTAGCAGCATGTGGCATGACTTCTTAAAGTCTAAATGATATGTTAGAGTCTAAATCTTACGTTAGAGCAGTGTCTGCCCAAGACTGGTAACATTTGGCTGTATAAACTATCTCCTCAGGACTACCAGAAAATCATAATGAAGCTTTCCCTTCATTTGGCAGTATCTTTGCACATGGACATCACCCCTTATTTTGGGGAGCTGTAAGGAGTTAAAAAAGAAAAAACATGAGTGTAATAGTTTTTTACCCACTAGAATTTGCTTTGTTTCATTTTCGTGTCACTTGTAGGTCCATGATTTGGATCCAAACACATGGAAAACTGTTGAAGTAGTCCACATAGATATTGCAGATCGAAGTCAAGTTGAACCTGGAGTAAGTACAGTTTGATGACATTTTGATGACATGTTAACAGTCTTCCTTAAACATCTAAAAATCATTTTTTCCCCCTTTTCTGTATGGCTGTGTTTCTATACTGAAATGACCTAGGAGCTCAGATGTAGTCTGTGCACAGAGACCTGAGGATGAGATAAGCCATTTTTTTCTGTGCAGATTTTGCTTTTGTTTAAGGGATCATGTTATATCTAGCATATATGTTTTCATTGGGAAAAAAACCCACATTGTTTATAAAAGTATCCTCCCTTGGATTTTAAACTTCAAGTGCGGTAAAAAGACAAAAATGTCAGCTAAGGCTGAAGTTGTTTGTACACAGTATATGATGTGTAATATCACTACTTTCTTCTTTTGGCACCGCAGATTGAACCCAAGGTCTTCCCAATGAGGTATATCCCCATCCCTTTTTAAATTTTTTAATTTGAGACAGTCTTGTTACATTGCCTGGGCTAGGCTCCAACTTTGTGCGTGATCTTGTTTTAATTTCCAGCGTTCTGAGATTTATTGTGTTCCACTGTGCCCAGCTGATATAGCATCTCTTAATTTTAAGTGTTTAGTTTTCTGTTTTGATTCTTATTCAAGGTAAATGTTTATAGTTCAGGCTTTTGACTTTAAATCCCCCCCACACAAGTAAGTGCACTTATGTTCCATGCCAAGTTAAGATCCTTGTATTGCTTCGTTGAGCTTTTTGAATACTAACCCAGTTCTTATTTTATAGTATGCCAGGGTGCCATCATGTTTCAGCCTAGCAGGGCACAGCTGTAAACTGTGCCTGTTAAAACAAACAGTGATCATCTGGCTAGAGAGCCGAAGCTTTATAAAGCGTGATTGGTGCCCCTTGCTTTGGCAAGGTCACGCGTAGTATGTTCAGTGATCGTCTTCTTCCATTTCTCTGTTCAGTGTTTAGTCTCTGAACTTGAGCAGTGCTATCATTGAAAAGAAATAAGTCAAACACAAAGTGTTTAGTTTTGCTGTTGAGTTTAAAGGTAAAAGGAAACAAAAGTCTTTGACCTTTCCTCTGAAATTGCGGGTTGTGGCTGACGGCAGTGACCCTAACCCCCTTGGCCCCTTCCCTGACTAGACGTGTGAGCACATAGAAGGGACCCTTTGTCCTAGAAGTCTTTTAGTTGTGTTGTGGTTTGAAGTTACTTCAATTGTAGCATTATTTCCACCTTTGAAATCATATAAACCATATTCCACCTTTGTAATCCTAACTACTTTTCTCTTTGCTGAGACAGGATTCCCAATGCCCAAAGGCAGGGGAGGAAAGGTTTATTGTAGCTCGTAGTTGGCTGGCTCCGTGCTGGGGCAGCATGGCAGAGGGGCCTCACAGGAGAAACAGTTCATGGTCTGCAGAAGGCAGCAGTGTAGTGCAGAAGCAGCAGCCGGCTCGCCTTCTTTCTGCCCCTTTACATCCTTCCAGGTGATCCAGCCCTCGGGTGGTGCCACCCACATGCAGGGTGGGCCTTCCCAGTATGCACACCCCGCACTACACCAAACCAATCAGAGGACCAATTTAGTACTACACACCTTAATCCCTGTGTCAAGCCTTTAATCTCAGCATCACACACCCCAAATCCAGCCACTTCTGAAAAAACCCCACTGTGGCTATCTGAGGCTTGGGGGAGGGACAGGATATCCAGACATAAGCCATAACACGAGTTGTTTTTTTTATGTTTAGAAATGAAGAACATCCAAATGGTAATCTGTTCTGGTCATTTATTTCTCTTGGCATCGCCCTAGCCGTGATTTACAGTATGTAATAGGATGGTAATTGGAAGAGAACTAGGAGTCAGTGAATCAGTTACTGGCTTGGTCAGGCTCACTGACCAGCCTAGAGTTGCTGATCACAAGAGGACACCAAGCACCCAGGTGGCTCAGCAGATGTGAGTGCCTGGGGAAGACTTCCTGTGTTGGTGTTGAAACACTGCTGGCCAAAGTGATTCTGTTAGTCAGATCTTGTGGTCCACTGATTTGCATTCCCTCTTGTTAACCAGCAGAGTACAAGGCATCTTTGGTTTGGGAGAAGGGAGAAAAAAAGTAGTTCTGTTCCTCAGGCAAAAGTGGGCATTTGGCATTTGCAGATACGTGAAAAGAACAGTGTAAGGCAGATTACACAGCACTAGAGTTCTAGAGGCTGATTCTCATTACCTCTGCCTCAGAGAAGCCTTCGGGAAGGCTTCTGACCTGCTTGCCAAGAGGATGCAAGATACCAGCAACTGTAGGTGGAAAGCTCTGTGTATGCAAAGCCTGAATAGGAGGCTCTGTGGAGTGGTAAGGGATGGCCAGGTGGTGGAGACAGTGGGTTGGGTCCATGCGTTGTGGGTTAGTGGGCAGGAGATTAGGAACGCGCATTCTGAAACTAGACTGGCTTCACGGTCAGATTTTGAGGTTCCACCATCTGCTGGTGACTTGTCTGTGCCTCTTAATTTGTGAAATACCGTGGCTGCTTATCTCAAAGGATTAAATGAGGGTACTTGGGGAGTGCAGTTCTGGAGGGGCTGGTCATTGTGCCATCGTTATTAACTGTACCTGTGCAGGAGTTCCAGCCTCCACAGTCATACCAGGTGCTATGCGTCCCGTGAGTGCTCACCTCATGAGTGCAGGTTTGAGCTCTAGCGTTTGTAGTTACCTTTTGCAAGTTACATTTTAGGGTTGAATAGGTAGGGATTTAAGTCATACTGAATTTGTGATGGCTTTTCTTTACTGTGATAAAATACACATAAAACTTTCATTTTCAAATGTGCCTTTCAGATGTAGTCAGTATTGTGCAGCCAGTCACCACTGTCTGTTTCCCAGAATATTTTCGTCCCCCCGCAAAGAACACCCTGTATTCATTACAGCCTCTGCACTCCTGGGTATCCCAGCCTTTACACCCGCTGATCTGTACAGTCTCAGGATTTGCCTGCTTTGGATATTTTATATATGTTAGTCATAACAAGTAGCCTTTGGTTTCTGGCTTCTGTCTTACACTTCGCATGTTTTCAAGGTTTATTCACATCATAGCATAGGTCTGCTCTTAATTCCTTTTTATGGTTAAAGAATACTTCATTGTGTGGACATACAAATGCTTATGCATTTGTTTATTGATGGGATTTTGCTTCTTTTCACTTGGCTGTTGTGTTGTCACCTTTGTGTCACAGTCATTTTTTTTTTTTTAACATACTTTCTCAGTCATGGATAATGAAAGTACAACTAATAAGTAGGGACTGTCAGGCCTTCTGACATCCAAAGAACCCCACTTACACATTTTTCTGGTATAAAGGAGAGATGAGGGGAACTCTGTGATGGTGAAAGTGCCCGTGACAGTGTTTAAGCCTCAGAGTGAGGACAGAGCACTGAGCTGCCTGGGCTTGTGCGAAAGCTGGGGTGAGTGGCAGGCTGTAGGACCAGTGCCCCAGTTCAGGGAAGAGGTGATCTGGAGACCTGCTGGGAGAGGAGAGCTGCTGACTTGGTCCTTACTTCTTTCCATATCCTGTTTTGTTGAGTTAGCTTGTTCTGCTCTTTTAGTTCATGGTGTTTAGAGAAGGAAGGATTAAGAGCACATTTGCAGTCTAAAATGACAGTGTTGTCATAGTGGTCAACATGTATGTAGTGCTACTAAGTATATACAGCCAGCATAGCACTGCAGTAGCTTTTCAAGATTGGTATCGGGCCTCAGGAGGCTTACAGTCTGAGTGAGTCCAACCCCGAAGTGTGGAAAGCTAGCTGCCAAGTGGCAGAAGCTCATGTGAGGTCCGAAGTGCTGCAGGGCTTCAGAGAAGAGAGAATCTCTCAGATGGCAAAGGCTGGATGGAATGCTGACGTGACAGTGGGTAGGGTTTTAGTGGTGGCGCAGTCCATCCCTGCTCACTACGCTTTCCCTTCATTTCCTTTCGTTGCTCTGACATGTTATAAATTTCTTGGCTCATTTCTCTCTTTCTCTCTCTTTCAAATAGAAATTGAACCTCAGAGGAAAGAGTGTACTGTTGACCTGTCTTCTGGCTCCTTCAGCAGTGCTGAGATTGAATAGGTACTCAGTAAATGGGTATTAAGTAAATGATGGAGTTTCATCAAGCAAAATAGAAGTGAGGGGTAAAGGCCCAGCGTCGCATTGAGTTGGGATGTTTTTTAAACCTGAATAGAAACTGAACTAGTTAAGAGTCCTTGCTTTCTAGCTGTGCTTTTCTAGTTTCTAGGTGTCCCCTTAAGTTGTCAGGATGGAATGGCAAGAGTTTGAGGCTGAGTCTCTCCTGTTCTCCTCTACCAACAAACTGTTGTTCATCAGGCATCGTCATCTTGGCCTTTAAATTTGCTTTGAACTCCCACTTCTTTAGCTGTATGAAGTTTGGTTCCAGGGCTAGAACCCCCGTTTTACAAGTGAGGAAACTGAAGCCCAGACGAATTAGTTTCTCAAGATGACTGAACTGGTGACAGAAGAGGACATTCTGTTCCCATCCATTACTCTCTGCTGACTCTTGATTCTCAGTTGCTTCTGAGTTGTCCCTGAGCGCTGTACATGTTCTGCTCCTCATACTGGTCTGCCACAATCATATCCTGTCCCATGTACTGCTTTCCCTTCTTTCTGGGACTCCTTCCTTCTGCTCAAGGCCTTTGTGTCTTTGAGGATCTAAGTCAGGTCTCAGTTCCTCTGGGGAGATTTCAGAGGAACCTCATGAGCTTGGGGCTAACTTGTGTGAGTCGAGTTTATTTTGGAATTAATTCAGTTTGATATCAATATAGTAACAAATGTATTGGAAAGGGGCAAGAAAGCATTCACACATTTTCCAGTGGGAGTATAAATTGGTAAAATTGGCCTAGCAGAATTACCAGTGTACTTGTCCTTTGACCTAGCAAAATTTTTCTAGAAATGTATTTATTGTGATGGGACAAGAATATAAATCTAAATATTAGAAACTGCTGAAGTCTAAATATTTCTCCATGAATCAGGACCTGGTTAAAAACGTGGTGAGTATGGAACAGTTGTTCCATCTAGTCAGTAA